TGTGTGTGTGTGTGTGTGTGTGTGTGTGTGTGTGTGTGTGTGTGTGTTTTCCACATCGGAAATACATTTTCTTCTATTTTTTTCCTTCTTTTTTAAAATTTTATTTTATTATTTTTTTATACAGCAGGTTCTTACTAGTTATCAATTTTATACATATTCGCTGATGTGTTGCTTTTGGCCACGGGTTATTAGTTGGCATTTTCTGGAGTTTATAGAAGTGTAATCTTCTGTCTTGGTTGGCCTCCCCCTCTAGCGTGTTACTTGGGATCCAGGAACCTCGGCCCTGAGCCTGTCATTCTCCACTAGCACAAGAATGCCTGCTGGGCATGGCTCCCACTCAGGACTTTTCCTCTCAGCATCAGCGCGTCACTGAGCAACGCTCCAGGAGCTCTGCGTCTCTCCAACCCTAGATGTTAGCTGGCAGAGTCAGCAGAGGGGAGGGCTGCCAGGTGGGCGCCAGCCTCCCGCCTCCCACCTCCCTTGGAAGCCTGTCTCTTAGCTGCTTCTGCCCTGCTTGTCTGGGTTCCAGACCCCCGTTCCTCCCGTGCCTCTCAGGCTCCTCGGCAAGGGCAGGTCACTTAGCCATGGAACCAGGCCACTTTCTGTGGTCCAAATCACGGCCGGTCCCGTCCTCTGGGGGCATGTGCAAAAGGTCCCTTCCTGGGCATCTGTGAAGTCACTGATTTTATGAGCTTTGCCTGTTCTGGGCACTGATCTGCATGGGGTCTGAGTAATCGCCCCTGGAACACTCCAGCTCTTTGAGCGCCATCCCTCTTGTGTTCTGGCAGTGAAGCTTACAGCCTCTGGAAGTGTCACCCCTGACAGGCGTGGGGAAGTGGGGAGGGGCAGGTATCTGAGCCCCTGTGCCGGAGGAGAGGGTGGGCGTTGAGAGTCGGAAGGGGACCCAGTGTCTCAGTGAACGCACGGACAGTGGAGGTGTATTTGTGATCAAGGGACCGGGGTGCCCAGGAGACCAGCAGTAAGAGCTCCAGAGCCTCGGTCCCCCAAGCATCAGGACGTGGGCTAAGGAGTCCTCTACCCCTTGGGGCGAGGAAGGAGCCACCAGTGAAGTAAAAGCACTTCATCTTCGATGATGTGACCCTGACCCCCATCGTATCGCCTGGAATTCTCTTCTGATGAAGAGGCAGGAGATGCCGGGGCTGAGAGAGACCTTCTCAGAACGCGTGGGGCCTGCAGAGGACCCTGGAGCCCAGGCCCTGCCCTGGCACCCGGCAGCGGGGTGTTTGCAGCCCCCTCTGCACTCGGTTTTACCTTTTGCTTAAATCGATTGCTCTGGACGTTAAAGGCCATTGAGAGGGAGTCCCCTTATGTGGTGCCTCCCCTGGGATGGAAGGGCCGGGGATCCTTCGAGGCTCACGGTAACGAAGCAGACGTTTCTCAACAGGGCTTCGTGGACAGAGACCCTTGGTGGGTGCCCCATGCTCCCACCCTCACCCTCCGAGGGACGGTTAGCAGGGCTGTGCCTTTCAAGAGCACATTGCATTGTTCTTGCAAAGGCTATTTTGTGGGTAGGTAACCTAGGAAGAGGATGAAATCTTCAAATAATATAAATGGGAAGATAAGGGCCCCTAGTTCTGGCCCCTGGGCACCCCTCTCCCTGCCCAGAGGCTTCCCTGATCACAGTTTCTCACCGGAGTGTTCTGTGCACATAGAGACAGCTGTAGACGTTACCCTGTTGGTTCGTTGGGCTCATGAGTTATTTAAACTGCCCCCTTCTGAAGAGTATCCGTGGCTGCAAACCAAGTCGTAGTGAATATCTGCTGGAGATATTTCCGTACATAGAATTGCTGACCGCATGAGATACTCATTTTAAATCTTGATCGACATTTATAATAAGTAAGTAAATAGCACATTCTATTTCTGTTGTATCAGCCTGAGCTCTGTAGGCTCAGGAGCAAATTCCGTTTAATCTGTGTGGGTAGAGTCTTTGTGTCCTGTAAGAACTAGCCCAGCTCTCGTCTATCTTGGTAGGTAAGTCCCACGTGTTGGATTTTAAAAACCCATTTATTTACAATACGTTGTGCCCTGTTCAATGAAATCCTTTTATTCTGATTCCGTGAGTGTCTCTGAGATCAGAGTCTTGTCATCAGGGGTGCCCGGGGGTTAGCTAACAGAGCTTTCCTCTCTTGGCACTTTTCCTATTTATGATGCTGTCAATGGAAATTTCCCCCCAAATGAGAGCACAGTGTCATGTGACATCCGATCACTTTCTGTTGTTGGTATGTGGTTGATTTCGAATGAGGAATTTTTATTGCTGCATGATTGGGTCTCAGGGTTTCCTCTAGTAGACGCTTGTTCACATACAAACTCCTATGGGCTGTAGAAGATGCTGCCTGGCTTGGCCTGCTGAAGCCTGGGTGCGTGACCCACTCTTGACCTACCAGAGCCTTCTCGGAGGGAAGGGCAGAGGTTCCAGGCTTACAATGGTGCCACAGGCTGCAGGGTGCTGCACGATGGCCAGGCATCTCTGCAGAATGAGCGACTC